GGAAGACAAGGGGTGAGAAACGCCAATATTTTCGTGTACCGTTGGGGGGAAATAGGTCAGGGAAGGCGTCCACGGAGAGAGAGCCAAGACCAGGGTCCCAGGAAAAGCCCAGCACCTGCAACTGAGCCACAGTTTCAAGTGCACGTGGGCCCTGTTTAAGCAGCATGCTGAGCAGTAAGATTTCCCTGGTTGCACGAAAGCGTGACCCTGCACACCTTGCCGGGGCCGCCCCGACGGGCCGGACAGGGCCCCGGCACCGGCTTCAGCGCCCCAGCCCAGCACTGCTTTGCAGCTGCCCCAGCGCTGCCCTGCCGGGGCAGCGGCGAGTGCAGAGCGCTGGCCTTCTACCCGGAGCCTGCTCTGCCGGGGAGGATCCACCCTGCTCGGCATCACCTCCCTTTGGCCTTTGCAGGCTGATGCCCCTGCTGCTCTTGTCCCCTCAACAGATGTCGGCACGGCCGAGTCACGGCTTTACACTCTTTGCATCCGCGACCTTTCCTGCTCCTTTTCTCCGGGCCTCGCAGGAGGCTTCCAGGCTTTGCGGGTCTCCTTGGCGTCTCTCGTCGTCACTTGAGCACTAGCGAGTCCGAGGGAGAGAGGGGAGAAAAAGTGCTGTGCTGTGTGGATTATTGTGTGTTTGTCATCTGGAATGGTATAAGCTGTAGGTACAGCATCTCCCAGCGGTGATTTATGGCCCCTGTCAGGCAGCACCAGCGCTTTGTCTGCTGTAGCGTGGAGGATGAATGCAGTGCTGTCAGCCCGGGCAGGGCAGGCTTTCTCTCGCTCTGCTCTGCACACTCGCTCCCCATTTCACGCCACTGAACATAAACAATCTTTTGTAAACCTGACAGTCACACTTGCTTCTTTGGAAACATAAAGCAGAAATGTATGACTCGGCTTTCATTACCCAATTTCCTAGGCTGTACAGAAAGCTCTCCAGAAGACGGGGAAGTGGAGACCCCAGGGGACAGGAGAGACCCCCTCCCCCAAAAGATAAAGGAAAAGGATGCACCCACTTGGCGTGTGTACGCCAACACTGGCCACGAACACGCGTGCCCTTGCACGCCTGCTATGGAAAACACGTGCGTGAATCATGACGCAGTGCAATCCTGACACACGGCTGTTCTCTTGACAGACGGCGCTACATCGCATTTTGGGAGCGATGCACATTTCCTACCTTAATTGTTGCAGTATATCTTTGTCCCTCGAGCAGAAAAACTAATAGTAGCATAATACTGGGATCACAGTCAGTTCGGTAACGGGTCCTCGTGCGCCCACCAAATGTAACAGAAAGTCTTATAAAAACGAATGCACCTTTATTACTAAATTGTAATAATCAATCTGAATACGGAAAGTGCCCAAAGCTCTGTTCAAATTCAGCTATTCCTGAAGCTAAAAGAGGACATTTAGAAGTTACAGTAGGAAACGGGTAGAAAGGCAAGAAAGGGAAAGTGCCAGCTCAATAGCCAGCCCCAGGCATACAGACCCCCAGACTAGAAATTTCATGCAAAGCTGCAGCACGTGAGGTGGAATTGCCTCCCCCAAAAATAAATTATGCACCTTAGGTTACATGCACACGCTGGAGGAGGAGAGCGGGGAAACGTTATGTCCCTAAGTGAAAATGCATCCAGATCCTGAGGGACGCAGGTACTTTCAAGGGTAGGTGGGGCTGGAAATCAGCAGTGGGGTTTCTGTGGACTTCCTTGGCATCCAGAATAGGAATCACACCTCCAACGTTATTGAAACGCCAGAGGATCTGCTCTTGAGGTCAGCACTGTATCCCAAGGAGGACCACGGCTAGTTTAGCCTGCAGGTAAGTAAGCCGCCTAGTCAGGCCCTGTGCCTGATGCAAGCTGCTCTTAACTAACGACATGGGTATAAGCAACTCTAAGAATGGAAGCACTTAGAGCGACGATAAACGGACCATCTCGTCTGAACTGCTAACGGGGATATATGCACTCGTGCTCAGCCTGCGGAGTGCAGGAACCCGCCCCTCTATTAGAGTTAGCAGGGAGATTCAGCCACTAGTGTAAAGCACCATGAATTTAAAGCCTGCCAAGGGGCAGAACAAATGCTGTTGATCTTGTGGGTACTACAAAAGGTCTGAGGAGCAGATCCAACTTGGTCCTACTGCAATTTACTGCTCCAGCTTGGAGGAAGAATGTGGTTCTCGTGCAGAGGGTAGATGAGCATATGGGCTTTTCCCTCTGCGGGGCACGAGGCGAGCCGTTGTTCTGCCCCGTTGCTTGTACCCAAGGGCTTGGCCGAGGCGTAGTAACTTCTCAGCTGGCCTCAGCTACAATCTTCCCGATGTCACCGATCGGCGAGAGACGCGCTACTTCCTTTTCGGGGGCTGCCCTCGCTGGCTCCTCTTGGACGCGGGAGAAACCAGCGCGGAGGGCTCAGAAGTACAGAGGCAGAAGAGATGCCGTGCCCGCTGCCCGCCCGGCCCCCGCCGCCCCTCGCTTCTAA